AGTATCAACCACGTGTGGTGGCTCATGCCTTTAGTCCCAGTGCTCAAGAGGCAGAGGCAGGCAGGTCTCTGTGAGATTGAGGCCAGCCTGGTCTACATAGTGAGTTCCAGGCCAACTGGGAATGCAAGAAGACCTTGTCTCAAAAATTAGAAAATTTAAAAAATAAAAAGAAGTTGGTGTCATGCCAGGCATAATGTTGCATAACTATAATCCCAGCTCTCATGACACTGAGGCAGGAGGACCACAAATTCAAGGCCAGTCTGGTCTATGCACCAAAACTGCATAGCAAAAAGTCTATGTTGGGCTGGAGAGATGGCTCAGTGGTTGAGAGCGCTGGCTGCTCTTGAAGAGGACCTGGGCTCAGTTCCCAGCACCCACGTCGTAGCTAACAACCACCCTTAACTCCAGTTCCAGGGTAACCAACATTCTGTTCTGGCCTCTGCAGGCATTGCATGCATGTGGTATATACATGCAGGCAAAACACAAACACATAAAATAAAATTTTTTACATCAATGTCATAAAAGACAAACATAAAGCTCAATGGATTTTGTTCCTAAAATGTACACACTTAAGTTTTGGGGAGAGAAGGCATGATTCTTCAACTAATTCTTATATATAGTAATAAAAAGTATCATCATGATGCTGGGTGTGGTGGCGCATGCCTGTAGTCCCAGCACTTGGGAGGCAGAGGCAGGTGGATCTCTGTGAGTTCAAGGCCAGCTTGGCCTACATAGTGAGTTCCAGGTCAGCTGGGGCTACGGGGAGACCCTGCTTCAAAAAGACAAAAGTATCATCATGAGAGATGAAGCAAATATTAAAACACTGAGGTGCGCCAGGCGTGGTGGTACACACCTTTAATCCCAGCACTCAGGAGGCAGAGGCAGGCAGATCTTTGAGTTCAAGGCCAGCCTGGTCTACATAGTGAGTTCCAGGACAGCTAGGGCTACAGGGAGACCCTGTCTTAAAAAGACACACACACACAAAAAAAAAGCAAAAAAACCCCAAAAAACTGAGGTGCAAAATGGCTCAGTAGGTAAAGACACTGCCACCAAGCTCAGCAACTTGAGTCTGAACCCCAGACTCATGGAAGGAGGGAGAGGGCTCCCCCCAAGTTGTCTTCTGACCTCCAAACATGCACTGTGGCATGCATGTACATCACACACACAAAAAAATTTAATATACAACAATGAGAACTAAAGAATCTCAGTGAAAGGCATACAGTTCTTGCCACATTTTTACAGGCTTGACAATTCTCACAATAAAGTGTTTTGAAATGTAAGAACATACTTCTGATCTGGAAATAACAGACATAAATACTTGACATTACACCTCCCTTAGTGCCTATTCTGCCAGACACTATGTCTGGAATTGCAGACATCTCATTTAACTTTCAACAACTCATGGTGAATTTAGTGTTTACTTATCCATACTTAACTGTGTATTAGTTACTTTTCTGTTGCTGTGACAAAACACCACAGGCAACTTATAGAAGAGTCTATTCTGGCCAGGAACAGTGGCGCACATCTTTTAATCTCAGCACTCGGGAGGCAGAGGCAAGTGGATCTCACAGTGAGATTGAGGCTAGCCTGGTCTATGTAGTTAATTCCAGTACAGCTAGGGCTGCAGGGAGTCTATCTCAAAAAGATCTTACACACACACACACACACACAGAAGGGTTCTGGCTTACAGTTCCAGAGGGATAAGAGTCCATCATGGCAGGGAGGCTTGGCAGCAAACGGCAGGCAGGACAGCAGGAGCAGAAAGCTTAGTGCTCACATCTTCACCACAACTGAAGCAGAGGGGGCAAACTGCCAGTGAGGCGAGGCTATGTACTCCCACAGCCTGCCCCCTGTGGCATATTTCCTCCAACAAGGTTCCACCTCTAAGGATTCAGGACCTCCCAACAGCACCATCAACTGGGGACCAAGTGTTCAAATACTTAAGTAGATGGGGGCATTTCTCATTCAAACCACCACAGAGAATGAAGGGAAACCTATAAATAAACTGCCCTAAAACCATATTATCTTACCTAAAGATAAAAATTCCTGAGGGAGTTTGTGTTTTTATAGTAGATGGAATCCCACTGAAATGGGCCAACAGCCCATGGACCATGCAGAGACCCAAAAGTTCAGTGCCTTTGCCACAAAAGGAAGAAGATCATCCCACACCTACCAGCCCTCAAAGGCTCAGGGACTTTTGTAGAAGAGCTTGGCAAGAATGTAAGAGCCGGAGGAAGGGGTGGAGTGTTAACTCTGACATAGTACTCCAACCACTATACCAGCAAGTTACAGTCACACTCCTTCCCATGCTCATCAAGGAGTCGAGGGGGAGTCAGTTACTCTTCCCACCCAATGAGTCAACCTTAGCTGCATGTGTGGGAGGGGCTAAGAATATATAAGCTGAGAACACCGGGAGGCCACTCTCTCATCATTTACTGTGGCTGTCAGGAAGTCACAGGATATATATTTGAGTGTGGACTTTGCAGTGCAGCCATAAATGGAGGACACCCATTCCTCTGTAAATAAACCCCTACCCTATGCTCTGTTAAAAAAAAACAAAAAAACAAAAAAAACAATGGGAGGGGCTAAGAATATATAAGCTGAGAACACCGGGAGGCCACTCTCTCATCATTTACTGTGGCTGTCAGGAAGTCACAGGATATATATTTGAGTGTGGACTTTGCAGTGCAGCCATAAATGGAGGACACCCATTCCTCTGTAAATAAACCCCTACCCTATGCTCTGTTAAAAAAAAACAAAAAAACAAAAAAAACAAACAGCCAGGCATGGTGGTGCACGCCTTTAATCCCAGCACTCGGGAGGCAGAGGCAGGCAGATCTCTGTGAGTTCGAGGCCAGCCTGGTAGTGAGTTCCAGGACAGCTGGGGCTACAGGGAGACCTTGTCTCAAAAAGACCAAAAATAAAGAAAAAGAAAGAAAGGAAGGAAGGAAGGAAGGAAGGAAGGAAGGAAGGAAGGAAGGAAGGAAGGAAGGAAGGAAGGAAGGAAGGGTGGCC